CTCGGCTGGCTGGCTGGCCTCTCCTGAGAACAAGACGTAACATGTTCGCCCGTGCCCCGTGCCCCCACTGTGCCCAGCACCTAGTGGGGGCTTAGTAAATATTTGGCCACGGGGGATGCTTCCTACTCCTCTCTGGGATTTCCTGCAGCTCCGTCAGAGGCTTGCTGAGTCAGCCTCCTGGAGAGCAAGTGCGGGGGAGTAGGGGTGAGACTCCCCTCCAGAGAGGTCACGAGGCTGGGCACAGGGCAGGGGTGTGGCCCCTGGGCAGGACCTGGGCTTAGAGGTAGAGAGACTGGGGTTCTAACCCAGCTCTGCGGCTATCGGCCTGGGCAGCATAGGGCCCGTGGCCGGGTTCCTGCGAGTTTACCGTTTCCCCTGTCTGCCGCCCAGGGCTAATGTGCACCTTGCCTGGGGGTCAAGATTAATTGAGATAAAGGACCTGATAACAGGAGGTAGCTGCTGTTATTGCTGAATTGCTTACGACAGCCTCTCTGAGGCTAGGCCTGCAGGGAAAGGGTAGTAAAAGCTCTAGACTCAGACCCTGGTTCAAATCCTGACTCCATCCCTGCCTGCCTTTGTGTCCCTGGATGCTTCTTTGACCTTTCAGGTTTCTCCTCTGCAGAATGGTAGTGAAGTTCTTGCCTTACTGGTTGTGCGGATGAACTCAGTTCATGTGTGTACACGGGCCAGCCCGTAGTAGGTACTCAGTAGTCCGAGGACGCTGCTGTTCCTTTTCCCTGAATGGGGACAGCGGAGCAGGGTCCCCACCCAGTCTCTGAGCTTACACCCCATTGTCACCTGGGGTATGCGGACAGACGTCTTCATGGGTAGTGGCTATTTTCCAGAATGTTCTGTGGGAGGCCTGCCTGAGCTTGGGCTGCCTGAGGAGGTGGTTGCTGCCTCTGCTCCTCCCCTGAAAAGTGTCTAGGCAGCTTCCCAGGAAGCCCCGGCGTGGTGGGGCAGCAGGCTTTCGCTGTCCCTAGGGGTGCTCTTGCCTCCTGTGTCCTGGCCAGCTCTCTGAGCCCCTCTTCCCCTGCTCTGCTGCACTGGGGAGCACCTCCTGCACTTGGAGCTGCGGGCAGGTATTCCCCGTGGGTGCTTACCTCTTGCCCTGACTGCCGGGCGGCTCTGGCTTCCCTCTCCCCTGCTTTGCATATGGCAGCCAGAAAGAGCTTTTACACGGTGCCTCCTGATCCAGAACGCGTCGGTGGATCCCCCCTCTGGCACCCCCTGACCTTCTGTGGCCTCCCCTCTCCCCCACGAACCTCATTCTCCATATCAAGCCAGTTCCCTCCCTGCTGCCTGACTCCGATTACTCTGCCCCGGCCCTTCTCTGTCCTCCCTCCTTTCCCCTGGACAGCTCTTCCTCCCGGCCCCTCCTCCATCATTGTCTCCGGCAACCCCTCTTCTCCGGCAGCCTTGCAACCTGCCCCCGTCACTCCCACTGCCCAGAAAAGCCATTGTCCTCACCCCCTCCAGCCCTTTCTTCCCCTGCAGGGGTGAAATTCTGGAAAGGCGAATCTACACTTCCTCCATTTTGTTGCCTTTACTTATTTCTTACCCCATTCCAGCATGGATTCGGGCCTCTGGAACATTTCCTGCAGGACCGTGGTTCTCAACCTTGGCTTCGGGTATTGAAAACCAGCAACAACCCCATGCTCAGGCCCAGGCCGAAGGACTGTGACTTTGCAGACCAGGGTGGGCCCAGGTGTAGGTGACTTTCCAAAGCTTCCCAGGTGCTCCTAATGGGCAGCCCGGGCTGAGCATCTCTCCTCCGGCCCCCGAGCCCCGTGGCCTTAGCGTGTTTCTGCTCTCCTCTTGCTTGACCCCTGGCGGGACCCGACCATATTCCTTTTGTGTAGCAGCTCTAACAAGTTACTACCACACCGGGTAGCTTAGAAGAACAGGAATCTTCTCCCCATTCTGGAGGTCAGAAGTTCAACGTCAAGGTGTCGTTGTTAGGGCCACACCCTCTGAGAGATCTGTTTGTTGCCTCCTCCAGCTTCAGGTGGCTCCGGGCCATGCTTGGCTCGCAACCACACAGCTCCCGTCTGCCTCAGTGGTCCCGTTGCTGCCGCCTCTTAGAAGAGTTTCGCTCAAAACTCTGCCTCCCTCATAAGGAGATAATCCAGGACAAACTCCTCAAGACTTTAAACCACCTTTTTTTTTTTTTTGCGCCATGGGAAGTAATACAGGTTCTGGGGATTCGGATGTAGACCTATTTGGGGCGCTACCGTCCACTGACCCAGTGGGCCGCCACTCCTTGCAATCTGACCGTCCCTTGCCTTCTGCACCCTCCCCTTCCTGGCTTCCTTCCTGCCCCTCTGGCAACTCCTCTTCGGGGTCCCCCTCTCCTGCAGAGCCACTGGGTGCTGGTGCTTCCGGAGGCTTCCTCCCCTGCCCCTTCCTTGACCCCACTCTCCCTGGGTGAGCTCGTTCAAGACCTCGGTTTCAGCTGTCCGTATTCCTACTTGCACTGCCAGCCGGGGTCTCTGAGCGCGCTAGAACTTCCCATGCATTGGCTCTGTCCATTTACATTGGGATGGTTCAGAGGCATCCCAGCCGAGCATCCCTAAGATCAAACTGACCGTGTCCCTCTCCCCGCACCGCTGCCCCTCCTTCTCCCTTAGCACTTGGGCTTCTTCCTGGATGGCGTCCAGAGTGTGGGAATCACGACCGACACCCACCCAGCCCTACACTGAGGCATCCTCCTTAACCCCTCTTTCTGCCCCCCCCCCCATCTGTCTTGCCTCCCTGGTCCAAAGCACCATCCTCTCAAACTGGACCTCAGTAGCCTCTACCAGCCTTGCCTTCTAGCTGGCTTCAAACCCGGTCCTGGCTTCTCTGTGCTCTCCGTTAAAACGACTCCTTGTGGCCTGGGTGGCCCCGCAGCCTGTCCAGCCCCACGACCCCTCCCTTCTCAGAGCTGGGTTTCCGGCCCTCTCCTGCACCACCGGCTCGCCTACCACATGGCCTTTGCACGTGCTGTTGCCTATGCCTGGAGTGCTTTTCCTACCTTCCTCCTCAGCCTGCCTTTGCCTAGTTGGTCCCTCTTCATCTTTTGGATCTTGGCTCAAGCTCTGTTTTCTGCGGGAAGCCATGGCTGGCCCTTGAGCTGGGTAAGGGCTTTTGTTTGTCATTGCCTTTGTAGGATGGTGCCTCTCAAGGAGTTGACTTGGCTTGTGATTGTACATTTGTCACTGACCTTACTCACTGCCTCTTCCCTGGCTGGACCACAAGCATCACAGGAGCGGGACTCAATGCGTGGAGCTTTACCCTCCATCCCTAGCACCGGGCAGGGCCCCGACAGTTTGGTGAATGCAGGGCTCTTCACTGATGCCGTTTTAGCATTTGCTCCGTGCTAAGTGTGGGGCGAGCCCACTACACGCATGAACGTGGTCAAGCCTCACAAAGCCCTAGGAGGAAGGCATCTTCTCCCTCTTGGACCGATGAGGATGCCAAGGCCCTGAAAGTGAAGTCGCTTTCTCCAGGCCTCCAGGGGGTGAGTGGAGGAGCCAGGATTCCAGATTGAACCACAGAATATCCTCCCTCTCTGGCCAGATCCTCTGTCATGTGCGGGTTAAGGATAAATAAACCCTGCAGGCTCAGAGAGGGGAGGGCCCCTGCCCAAGGTCTCACAACTCCTTGGCGGTTCCCTGGGCTGGAAGCTTCAGTGTTCCCGATGCTGAACATTTTTTGAGAATGGGATGAACATTTAGCTAAGTGGGCATTGAACTTGTTTTGTCAGGGAATCCAACAACTCCCTTGCCTCTGAGCCTGTGCGTGAGTGCCGCTGGGTCCTTTGCAGGCTGGGTGACTTCCGGAGAGGTCTGGTTGCTCGGACTTCCTGCTGGGAGGCAGGCTTGGTAGCTCTGGGCCTGCTGGCCTCCTTGGGCCTGTAGCTCCCTCCCTCGCCAGGGCAGATACTTTCTCGTCCAGGTCCCCAAATTCCAGGGAAGGCCCCAACCTGGCAGACATCAGTGGAGTTTTCTAGATCTCCCCCAGACCCAGGGAAAGTCCCTTTCCCCCTGTCTCCCAACACCTGTTGTGCTTAACAGCTCCTGGGAGATGCCCTGGCGGAGACGCTGGGCTGCTTCATATAAACCCACTTGTCCACCTACACTGTGGGTTGTTTGTTTGTTTGTTTAATCCTTACAGTTGTTCTCCGACAAGGAAGCAGAAATACGCTGTTTTGCAGTTGAGGAAACAGAGGGTCTGAGAGATCAAGTGTCTTGGCCGAGACCACACAGCCAGTGAAGCGGTGGAGCTGGGAATCCGGCTGATGGGCTGTCTCCAAAGCCCATGTCCTTAATCTCCTGGCCTTGAGTGCCAAGCGATGTTCGTGGGGCCGCGTGTGTGTAGGAGATGATCACCGAGATGACCGAGTATCCAGTACCCTTTCTGAAGTACTGGAAAGCTCTTGTGTCACCTCCTATTGATTCCTGAGAACTGTGCTTAACTAACACCTGCTTTTGAAAATGGAGCCTGGGTCTTTGAAACCCACTGTGGCATAGTCACGGGCCCAGGAAGTCTGTGGTCAACACTTTTTGTTAAAGTTGGGTTTTGTTTCGTGAGTTGGCAGAGCGTGGACTCTGCCAGCATGGTGGTGCCGTGGCTGGCCCTGTGTTTAAGACCACTGGCTTTGGGCTTGGGCTAGAATTCTCGTTCTGCCATTTACCAGCTGCGGTTCAGACCAGAGGTACTGCGTTGGGTTCCTGCCTCTATGGCTTGCTGTGCGAACTCGGGCAACTCATTTAACCTCCCTGAAACTCAATTGTGGTTGAACCTCTGTGGTCTTAACCGTGAAAGAGCTAGAGATGACTGTTAAGTCCACCCCCCTCCCAGATGAGGAGGAAACAAGATGGTGTGCATAAAGAGCTTAGTGGAGCGTCTGTGGCAGGTGTCCAGTCAGTGGGACTAATGGTTATCACGGTCCTTCCAACATTCATGGGTGTTTGTTCTCTACCCCCCACCCCCTTGTTTCCTCTGCCCCCTTGCAGGTGGAATTGCACGTCCATCTAGATGGGGCCATCAAGCCTGAAACCATCTTATACTATGGCAGGTAAGTCCACAGAGAAGAGACCTTCCTCCCCAGCATTTGGGGACATGTGGGGGGTCCATGGCTCAACCCAGAGGCCTCTGGAGAATTCCAGGGTGGTTGTTCCTTCCTATATGCCCGTGGAAGGAAGCCGGCCCCCTGGCCAGAAGAAGGTGGTCTGTGGAGAAATGGCAGCCCCTGCTTTCTGTGCTTCTGACTCTTGTCCTCCTGCTGCCAGGTGAGCCAGGAGGAACTTGCCCCACCTTATATGCAGGTGCATGAACACACACAGACACACACACACACACACACGAGGAGGCAGTTCCCAGGGCCAGTCATCGTGTTTTGAGTCCGCAGGGAGCCCTGTGGCAGAGGTGATGTCTCTGCACGGGATGCCGGGACCCTTTGCTGAGCATCTCTGGTGCTGGGCTGAGCCCTCTCCTGGAGTCAGCAAATCTAACCCCTGTGCAGAGGAGGAGGGCACGGCTAACCCCACCTCACTGAGGAGAGCCGGGCGGGCTCAGGAAAACAAAGGCAGTTGCCTGAGGCCACACGACAATAAACAGGAGGTCTAGAGTTGACCGAGGGCCATCTCTCCAAGGCTTTCCCTGTGTCCCCAGGGCAATTGCCTATTGGGGCATGTGGACAGGGGGCCCCTCCTCTGGGGGCCCATCTTCATCTCCCAAGTAAGAATATGCCTCCTGCCTCGGCTCACGTGCATGCGGCTGGGTCCAAGGGTCACCAGTGCTGCCCAGTGAGGGATGCCTGCCCCTCCCTCCCCACCTCAGGGGCTCATGGAGGCCCCTCTCTTGGGTCCAATGCTTAAGAGCAGGGACTTTAGAGGTCAGTGGGTCTGGATTCAAATATGGGCACACCGTTTCCTCCCTGCGACCTTGGCCTCTAGCTTGCAGGGGAAGAGCACGGCCTCCCTCCAGAGCTGACCTAGGAGATGGGGGCCCCTGCTGCCACCCACCTCTCCTTCCACAGACTGTGCTCGTCACGTGTTTGCTGGACACTCATTTCATTCGGAGCTGGAAGGAGTCCGCCTCGCTCGTTGCCGGGAGCACTTCCGCTCCAGGCCCAAACGTGCGCACTCTGCTCCGTAAGCCCCAGTCCCCCGAGTTCTCCAGACGCTGCTGCTTCGGAGAACTGGTGAGGCTGGGGAGTCTGTCCCCAGTTCTCAGGAGCATCTCTTCCAAGAGAGCCAGAGCTCTGGCAAGAACACTTTTCTCCACTGTCCTACTTCCACAGACCTCCCTCTGCCCTAGGAAGTTGCTACTGATCTAATTCTCGACTCTCTGACGTCATTTGTTAGCATTTACTGGGCACCACGAGGCCCTGCATGGGGGCTGACGTACTGAATCCTCAGGACAGCTTAAGGGGTGGTACTGTTGTGGCCCCCATTTTATGGAGGAGGACACTGAGTCGTGATGGGTGGGGGGACTTAGGTAGTAAGCATGGCTGTGACCCCGAGTCCACACCCCTGACCATTACCTCTGCCAGCGAGGGGCTTGGATGGAGCCGTGCACGGAAACCACTTAGCTCAGGGCTAAGCACAGTGTCCTCAAGGGCACTTAATGATGGTATTAATGATAAGCTCTGGCTGGGCGGGGTGAAGCTGCTTGGCTTATCTCTGCCTGTCCTTTGCCCATGCCGAGTGCCAGTCATTGCCCCAGAGTCCCGAATGAGGCTGTTAGGCGGGTTATCGGGCACCACGACGGGATCTCCTCTTGGGTACTCGTTAAGGGGTCAGAGAGCACTTAGTAGTGGAGCAAGAAGGCGGGAGTCCAGGGCAGGGTGGAGAGAGGAGGGAGGGGAACCGCCTCTGGGGGGAGGCTGGTCGGATCTTCTGTTTCCCCATCACCTTGGCATCTCGGGAGCAGTCGAGGTGCCTCGGTGGGCCCATTGGGCAGGGGTGTTATGGGTGCCAGCTGGAGTCTGAGCTCAAGGTCAGCAGGCAGGGGACCTGGTCAGACTTGGCTATGGATGCCCATAAACACACTGGAGGACTTCCTGGTGGTGGTGGGCTGAGAGAAGGAAGGAAGCCCCTCTCTCCCTCTGGCCAAATCCAGTGGCCCCTCTTCTGCCTCTGTGATTTGGGCCTCCGCTGTGTTCTTACCCACTTCTTCCCTAAGCCTCTCCGGGGCTTCTCCTACCCCTCTCTCCATTTTCTTCATGAGCCTGTCTGCTTTTTTGCCACAGCACGTTCTGAACCTAACCCCACTCTCCTCCCTTCACCAGCCTGGCCTGAGCCACCAGCATCCCTCATCTGGACTATGGCAATGGCTTCCTGACTGGTCTCCGGGTGGCCACTCTGGCCTCCCCGTCTCCTGTCCCCACAGTACTGTAGTCAGAACACTGGTCTTTTTTTTAAAGATTTTATTTATTTATTAGAGATAGCGAGAGAGAGCATGAGTGGGGAGAAGAGGGAGAAGCAGGCTCCTGAGCAGGACCCTGGGATCACGACCCAGGCTGAAGGCAGTGGCTTAACCAACTGAGCCACCCAGGCGCCCCCAGAACACCGGTCTTAAAACCTAGTCTGACCAGTCCCTCCCCGGCTCAAATCCTCCCACACTCCCAGCTTGCTCAGTGTCAAAGCCAAAGTCCATTCATGGCCCTTAAGGACCTGCAAAGCCTGTGTTTCCTCTCTGACCTCTCCTCCTTAGTCCATGCTGGAGGTTTCTCACACCTGCCAGACCTGGTAATCACAGAGAGATTGAACAACTCTCCCAAGGTCACACAGCCTTTAAGGAACACAGCTGGGATTCAGAACCAGTCCATCAGGCTTTGGAGTTTGCTGTCTGACCCTGGACAGGTAAACCACCTCATTTCTTCTCTGTACCCAGCCACGAAAGTGCTATCTGTGTTACTGACAAGGATGTGGAGGTCCTCAGATGGGACGGCTCCTCCCCTGAGTGTTCTGGCATGTACCGCAGGGGGATGGACTTTGAACTCCAGAGCCTGAGCTTTTCCTCCTCACTGGGCTCTCTGTGGCCAGGCTCCTTGTAGGCACGTCTCCCACCCTGGCAGGAAGAGGACTGGCCAAGGCCTGGCTGACGGGGGTGTTTAGGGAGCGTCTGACGACCAAGCTCGGTCCCAGGGGGAGCCTCCTGTGTGGCAGGAGGACCCAGCGCCCTAGAAATAACTCCTCCTTGCCTCAGCTTGGTCTGAGCAGCTTCTGGAGGCCCAGTCCTATGTGAGATCCCGAAGAGTGTCTCATGCTGTTTGTTTCCTGCTGGGACCCCTGCAGTAGCTCTCAGATCTGATAGCCAGGAGCTCTTAAATCTCTTCACGCCACTCCCCTGCTTGAAATCCTTCAGTGGTTTCCTGGAGCTTTGGGGATAAGGCCCCAACTTCTACGAAGCTTCCACTGGGCTCTGCCTGCCCTCTAGCTTATCACCTACCACTGACCCCACTCTGAACTCCAGCTGCCCTGCCCTCACCTTCTCTCCCGGCTTCTGCCTGAAGCCCCCTCTGTTCCTTCCTTCTCTCTTTTAATTCTCCTAAGTGTCCCCTCTGACCAGCCTTCCCAGAGCACTCTGTGTGGCCAAGGATCTTTTGGTGGCTGACGAGGAGAGAGGCTGGAGAGGGTGGAACTAATGGGACAGACCGTTAGGAAGTAAAATAAGTGAGACTTGACTGGCTGGTGGGCAAGGCAGATGGAGCCCTGGGGAGGCCCCTGCATGGGTTGGGCAGCTGGGGGGCGGGGGCGTGGAGCTATATTTGGAAACATGGGGCATGGGGCAAGGAGGGGAGAGGTGGCAAGAGGTGGGGGGTCAGACGCCTGGATCTGTCTTGGTCACTGCCATCTGTCCAGTGCCCGGGACATTGTAAGCCCTCAAGCAGTGGTGTGAGAGGTAGAGACCTCTGGATCCTGGGCTGAAAACCACGAGAGGGGAGGAGTTCATGTGGGCAGGGGTGTAAAAGGGAGGGTCTGCAAGAATGGTCAGGAGGAAGCGGTGGTCGAGGGAGCTGGAGGAAGACCGTCGGGAGCCTTGCACATAGCGGGTCCAGCAGGCCCAAGCACGCGTGGCCGCTGCGTCTGACCATGTGAGCACCAGAGCCTTCCTCTGCTTCCCCCACCGGCTCCCAGAAAGTTCTCCAAAACCCAGCACTTCACCGGTATGGGCTCTGCAGGGCCATGGTCACGGGGGACGTGGCCTCCTGAGGGGAAGGCTCCCGGGGCACGGAGCACTGCCCTCCGAGCAAGGACCACAGCAAGGGTGCCCTCTTCCCCACCGTGTCCTGCAGGGATGGGGGCGCTGACTGCAGGCTGGGGGGGCACTGCTAGGGACTGGGGCCACCAGCAGGGAAGGAGGGCCTGTGTTGGGGGCTCCGGGGACAGGTGTTTATGTTGGGAAACATCGTAGTATTTTAGGGACTGAGGTCCTTGACTTAACCACTGTTCAGTCAAACTTCTGTGTCTCTGGCAACCCCCCCTTCCATCTTCTGTTCTTGCTTTGCAGATAACCCAATGCTTGAACCTAATTGCATCACCTCATTTCTGTCATCATTTGCTCCTTTTTTTTTTTTTAATCTTCTTTTCTTCTACTTTCTGGAGTTGTTTCTCTGCTGTATTTTCCATTCACTTTATTACATCCTGATGATTGGCCCTGTATTCGTTTAGATTTGCAGGAGCCCTTTCTTACTCTCAGGGTCCCCTTTCTGAACGGGATATTCTGTTTCTTCTCCCGTCCTGGAGGCGCTCCACCGTAGGGGTTTTGTTTTCTTCTGTTCTCTGCCTTGTTTCCTCGGAGTACCCTTTGTCTCCTGCTTTGTCCCTTCATGGTGGAAGCATTTCTTGGATGTCTGGTGCTCTTTGCCTGCCCCTTTTCTCTTCAGAATGGGGAAACTGAGGCCGGGGTGACCTGGGGGTCTTGGCAGGGAGGAGGCGGCTCCAGCCGGGGTGGGGGTTCTGGGTCAGCCCC